TAACATACGTATATTCTTGAGCTGCTTTAAAACCTAATAAATCTTCATGTATTAAACAGCTTTTTTTCCTATCTCCTTCAATCTCTTTGATCTAGTCATCCAGGAATAATCCAGGGCTAATTATAATTTCTGAGCTTCTTTTAGCCTAAAAGGAGCCAATTTATCACAAACCGTTATGAATCTCCATTTAAAATTATCGAGAGTCCAATTACTAACAGAAATAAGGGATATTTCTTTCCAATTAAAATGATTGATTTCACTTAAAAACAAAGTAACATTTCAGTTTTTAATTATGCACATCCTTATCAAATGTGAAGAGATTTTTTTCAACACATTTTATTTAACATTCGAAGAGTGTAATATAACAAACATTAATCATATGCTGATATAATACCAAGCCTAATAATGTTTTCACCTTAATTTGACAGAAACTAATCCATCAAAATATCCTACCATCCTTAATGTTACTTCTAACATTTAATAATTTGGAGGCACAAAATAAGAAATCTGTTTTCTTTGCCATGTTCAGCCACCTTAAGGTGATATTAAATTCACCTCTCAGATTTAATTTAATGTCAGTGCATCTTGGGCTGGCAGACAAGATTAAAGATCTATGCTGTCATGTCTGTTAAAAAATAAAGCTATCTCTTGGAAGACAGTTTAATATCAAACATGTTCATACTCAGGAATGAGATTACGCATTTCAGATAAATGGATATAACCTTTTAAAATAATGCAAAATAAGGTTCACATAGGAACTTGTGTTTCAAAGAAATGAAACTACATACCTTCAGTCTCCCCAGAACAGAGAACTGACACACACATCATGAGACACAAAATCAGTCCCTTTGACTCTAATGGAACCACTTTCCTTTGATTTGATAGACAAGAGACACTTTTGATCACTTCTTATTCCACTAGTCAATATCATTGACCAAGATGACACCAGCAGTCACATCTTCAGTTGGCACAGAAAAGGGAAATCTTGCTATATACTGTACATACATATACATATATATACATGCACATATAGACATAGTTTTGAAATTGAAGGAGGAAACAATAATTATGTTGATGACTCCAGCCTGATAGCCAGAAATTCAAAAGATTTGAAAGCGCTAGTGATAAAAACCAAGAGTCAATGTGAAAAACATGGTGCTAAAATTAAATACAAAAGACCAAACTAATGCCAGCAGATAGAACCACCAACTTTAAAACTGACAATGAAGGTATTAAAGTGATGGATAGTAAAGGAACCAGCCTCCCAAGAAATATGTCACAGATTAGCATTTGCCAGAGTAGCCATGAGACTTTGAGAAAAAAAATATTCAAATGCCATAATGTGTCTATATATACTAAGATCAGAATCATATGAGCCATGGTATTTCCTGTGACACTCTATGGAAATGAAAGTTGAGTTTGAAGAAGCAAGATAGGAAGAGTATTGACATTTTTGAAATTTGGTGTTGGAGAAGACTCCGGAGAATACTCTGAGCAGCAAAGAAAAAAAATGATGGATTATTGAACAAATCAACCCAGAGTTCTTCAAAGTACAAATGACCAGACTCAAATTATTCTATGTCACATACATTATGTGAAGACCTCTGGAAAAGGCTCCAATATGGAGAAACATGGAAGAAAAGAGAACACGAGGACCACCAGTAAGATGGATGAACTGAATTACAGTGGCAATGGGACCTGAAAGACCAGGTTAGTGACAGATTGTCCTGAAGAAAATCTATCTCCTTTAAAGGAGGCGGTGGTGAGGCCCCTACTGAAGAGACTGTCCCTGGATCC